GAATCTTCGGCGAAAGTTTCTTCGATCGTCAAAGTACAAATGCCTTGAACATACGTTGTCAGATAATCAGGGTTATTCAAAATCGAGATTCCATCCTTGTACCAAACCACTTCCGGTGTTGGTTGACCAACGAGGTTGCACTGGAAAGTGAATTTTTCTCCTTCTTGTACAGTGGTATCATGTAAGGGAACGGTAAATTCTGGAGCCAATGGAGGAACGTTCTCTTTTAGCAGTCTTTCTACTGATTTCTCGCGTATTTCTTCGGTGACGATGTTCTTCTGTGGACTTGGTTCGCGTTGAGACGTTTTCTCAATTTCCGTCTAAAATTAAAAAAGAAAACAGCATATACGTATATGTATACGATGCATACATAAAGTGTCAAAAGTGTGAGTGACAATTATATTGAAAGAATGAATATAATATATATGATAACTTTTTAAATTAATTATATATAAATATATTTCATACCAAGTTGTTATCTTTTAATATTCAGATTTCTATCAGATATTATAATCGATTTTAATATACAATATTCAATTGTAAACGTGTTTCTTTAATATTTCAAAAAATGTTTCATACATATTCCTTACATTGTTCTAGTTTTATTATAATTAAATAATTATAATAGAATTAGAAAAATATTTTTAGTAATTCACATGGAATAACATCAGCAAGAATAGAAAATAAAAATGCTCTTAGCTCATTGTTATCGTAGTTATTTCATCTTCAACCGAAATGGAAACGCGATTCATCTGTATTACGTGACTCATGCATCTTGTATATCACGTAACAAATCGAGAATGCATCCTATTTTCCTTCTAGTTTTCTTAGAAAAACATTCACTTACGCGTTTTAAAGGTCGTATCGATAATTAAAATTATACCATTAGCGAACAGAAAAAAAGAAAGATGCAAAATACAGAAAAAGACGTAGAACGAGAATATATGTTATACCTTTTGCAAAATATGTATTTCTTTAGTGATAGTTGCGGAAGTGACCATTTCTTTGACGAAACTTTTGTCCGTGCTGTCGATCTTCTCGGTTTGCGCTGACACCGAAAACGACGGTGGAGCAGAAACTTTTTCAAACGTCTTTTCCTCTTTCAGTTTCTTTGCTTCTATCGTTGCTTTCTCCAATGTCTCGGCTGCTAATTTTTCCGCGATTCTCCTCGCGTTCTCCGCTTCTTCTCTGGCTGCTTCTGCGGCAGCCATTTCCACTTTCGCGGCCTGTAATCTTCTGTCTGCTTCCTGCTTCTCGATCCTTAATTTCTCCTGCAGATCTTCCGCGTTTTTCAAATTTTGAGCCAACGTTCGGAATTCGGACGAGACGACGGCGAAGGAGTCTAACATTTGGCGATTTTCCACGATCACTTCGTTGAATTGTGGTAATCTGTCTGTACCTACATAACAGCACAAAGGATAGCAATTTTACTATTTTGGTATAACGCTACATAAACGAAATAAAACACTGAAACGATAAGAAACTTTGTCCCATTATGTAATATATCGTCTTAGATTTAAATACATACGAATTTCAAAATCGTGTCAGAATTATTTGCAGTGACAAAATATTTTATACAGATCCATATAAATTTCTATTTTACTACGTCTGTTTGGCGATAGTTACGTGTATTTAGCTATTTATATTTTCCATTAAATATTTTGTATTTTATATAGAAATTAAAAAAAAAACTTTCGAAGAACTCGCTTTTGTATATTGATATAATTTTAATATAATAAAATATTAATAATATAATAAATAAATAAAATATTAATATAATTCCTATTTAATAATTTGTGTTATTTATCGTTTATATGCATTCAAATACGTATCTTAAATTCTATTTCCAATTTACTTTGTTCGCTTACCAAACACGATAGTCGATAGTTCCTTCAGCTTTTCGATTCTCCTTTCTTGAACTTCTTCGCCTGGCTTCAAGTAACGATCTATTTCTTGAAGCAAATCCATGGCGTCTTTCGGAGTCTTTACCGCGGTTGCTTTCCTCGCTATCACGACCAACAATTTGCTACCTTCTCTATTCCATTCTTTGGCTTCCTCCAAGAGCGTGAAATACTCTATGCTCAAATTCATTCGCTTCTTTGTTTCTTCGATTTTCCTCTTCAAGTTTCTCCACCTCTCACGCAAGAAAGAAATATCGTTGACGATTTGAGGCGTTAAAATATTAATCGATTCTTCGGTCGTCTTCACGAACGTCTCGATTCTTTCTTCCAAAATCTACGAACCAGAAACACGATACACCATTTCAGCATTTTAACAACGAGAGAAATATATTTAAAACGCGAGTAATTTCTCCCAAACTATTGTTTCTGTCTTTTTAAATTTCTCGATGTTACTTCTAAATATTATTTTTCTTTGAAAAATTTCCTGTTATTTATAGTAATTCCAGTTTATAACAAGTACCATATTATTTACCATACTCTATTTATCGTAAGATTTTCTAGATCAATGTTAAACAATATTCTGAATTATTGTTTACTTACATAAATATTTCCTATGTCAAGCATTCGATAAAATTTGTAACGCTGTTAGTTTTTATTTTAATAGGTTGAATCGTGAAATAAAATTATAAATTTATTATAATTAACAATATAAAGTATTTTTTTTATCGTGTAAACATTTCTTGTTCTTACCGTGACTGTCTTTTCGAATTGTACGAACGAGGTAGCAGTAGCTTTAGCTGTCTGAAGGTTCTCACCAATCTTCGCGTCAACCTTCTTCAAATGTTCATTCAAATCCTGTAATTCTGTCTCAATCCTCTCCAAATCCTCGGAAAAAGTACACGTTCGTCGATATTCTTCGATCTTAGTAATCGTCTGAGACCAAAACAGTTCAAGGTTTGTCGACAACGAATCTATAGCACGCTTCAATTTCTCAATGTCCTGAACACCAGCCTCGGGCGGTTCCTGTTGCTTGATCCTAGCGATTACGTCTTGAGCCTTCGATCTAATCTGATTTTGTCTGTCAGAAATTGTCCATTTCATCGCGTCGAGCTCGTTGAACAGTGTTTCCACTTCGGACAATTTTTTCAAGGACGCTATACGTTGTGCATGAGCCCTTAACTGTTCGATCTTATGCTCAACCTTGAACAGGATTAGAAAATTAATCGTGAAATTAAAATTTCGAGAAGAACACCGGATATATGCAAGTCGAGCCACGTAATTCCGCGGCCTTCTACAGAATAACAATTAACTGTTCGTTATTTTGCTTTTTATCAAGATAGGATGCCATTTTGAGTTTTGAAAATGTAACGTGCAATGCTTGTTATATTTATGTTAAACTACTATATTTTATATTGTGATAGAGCTATATTTAAATATTCGACGGAATGTTGACTTTTGCGTAAAATATTGGGTTGGCAACTAAGTGATTGCGGATTTTGTCATTAAGTTGTATTGACAAAATCCGCAATCACTTAGTTGCCAAGCTAATATTATTGATATTTTACCTCTTCGATATTCCGGAAGATGGAAATCAATGACTCCAGAAGAGTTTCGTAATCTCTGGCAGTCGCATGAAGATTCTCGTGCATCTGACGAAGTCTCTTCAGGATCTCGTCGTCGATCTCTACTTCGCCTGATTCACAATATTTATTACATATTTATCTTTCGTTGTCTTCGATATTATTATTTTTCTATATATCTTAGAAAAGTGGTTATTAGTTTAAAATTACCTTTCTGAGCTAGAGTATTGATTCCATTGATTCTAGAATCCAATTCGTTGACAGCTTTATTCAACTCGGGAAGAATACGATGTTTGGATCCGCTTAAGTCTTGAAGAATGCTTGCTGTTTTAGGAGATTGAGACGTTATCACTGGATATAATTGTTCGCTGAATTTGGAAACCCATTCCATCGTCTACAAGTATAAACATAGTAGAAATATAGAAATTTCGTATCGTGGTAAAAGAAATATCTGAATGGGATGGTCAGCTACTTACTCTCGTGCTCTCTTCGATTCTTCGTTGATGCTCGATTCGCTTCTTCCTCAAAATCTCGATCGTCGTCCTCCATTTCTCCCACGATTCTGTTATAGTCAACTGTCTGTTAGCAAACCTCTCTAAGAGGGTCTGCACGCATATGCAGGCTCTCGGTACATCTAGATAAGGATCATCGATCTGAAAGATACATATTGCTTTTTACAAATGTTACAAAAAAAAAAAAGAAAATTTGAAGTGCATAAAATTGTATCTACTCAGTCATTCGATGTTAGTATTCGATAGAGAACTACCGGTAGGGGCCTTTCTTTTGGAATTTTTGAGAAGACCCCCAATACTTTAGTCTAGCCTTTTATTATAGCTGTACTTGAATAATAAAACTTAGAAGTGGTTGTTTATGATTTAATTCGATTATATGTGCCCGAGATTTATGACAGTAGGCTTGGCCTCGAAGCGACACAACTGGTCGCTAAACGTAGCCACGTTTTTACCTAGTACTTGCTTCGGTAGTACATATACTAAAATTGGAACGATACCATATAACCAAAACAGAGACAATGCAGGCTAAAATTCTTCGAACAATAGTAAACGCCCCATGGTACCTTAGAAACGAGGACATTCGGAAAGACCTGGGAATACCCAACGGTCAAGCAGGAGATTAGCAGATGTGCAAGAAGGTACACAGAAAGAATAGCAACGCACCCGAACCTGACTGGCAGCGGAAACGATCAACACGTCAAGCATAGAAAGAAGACTAAAAAGGAAACACCCAACAGATCTCGTAAAGGATATAACCTAACAAACACAAAGATGGTATCCCGCTGGGGGTAGCCATCCACATGATAATCAGACAGCCAAAAAATTCTACGAAATGTCCAAATCGGACAAATTGTGAATGTAAACAACTAAATAAAAAAAAAAAAAACGTTTTTACTTAACAGATGTATGGAATAGTTGTATAGCTCCCCTTAAAAATATATTTGACCCGAGGGGTACAGACAGGTACAGAGTAGAGTATATAAGTGCAATTCCACTTAGACCGAGAGAGTCAGTTGAGTTCTACTTGTACTGTGGACAAGTAAGTTGAGTTACACTTGAATTGTGGACCATTAAGTTCAGTTCGACTTAGACTTTGGAAGAAAACATTTGGAAGAAGACAGCATTTGCTATCCCGTTGACCGTGGATTCGTTATCGAACCTAAGATCATTGTCATTAGCATCTCGAAGGCTAAGATTCCTGATTGATGCACCTTGGTATGTACCCAATGAAACAATACACCGCGACCTCAAGATACTCACAGTCAAAGAAGAAATAGCAAAATATAGCGACAGATATAGCAAAAGAGTCAACAAACACCGAAACCCCCTAATCACTGGACTACTTGATACGACGGGCCAGATTCGCGGGCTGAAGAGGCACTACCCGCTAGACCTAAACGCTAGATTCAATTAGTTATCTAAATTAAGTAATATTTACTTATTTATAATACTTACTTATAAACTATACTTATCTATAATAAGTATTAACTTATTATAAATAATCAGCCATGTCACTGCGCCACGCCAGAAAAATTACTGAAAATTCTCAACGCGAGAATTGATCGTAATTTTAATAAATAAATTAAAAAAAAATATAAAAAAAAATTAGCATCTCGAGTATCTAATCGCCACTAATCATATTTGTACCAGTAAATATCATCCATATTGTATAACAACAATGGCTAATTCAATCGAATCTAATCTAATACTAAAAGAAAAATTCGCTTCTATCCATATACCTTGCAAAAAGTCGTTCAAGTCTCTAAAAGTACACGGTTCTAAGTTCGTAAAATTTTAATGAGAAGTCACGAATTCACCATTTTGATTATTCTCGTGATTCTATTAAATATTAACAACCTATATAAATTCGATAATAGGAAATTAATGTCACACCTTGATAGCAGCGTCCAGAAACGCTTTGCCAGTGTTAGTCAGGTTGACGTAAAGCGGCTGAAGATCTTTCCAACGTCTTCCAAGCTGTTCGATCTTCCTCTCGTCCAAAACATCCGTTTGTCTCTTCAATTCGCTTTCGATCGACTCAATTTCCCTCGTTAGTTCCTCAACTGCCATATGGAATTGCAAATAAAGCGATCCCAGATCGATTCTACTCGCTACCAGCTCTTTCGTCTTTGACCAGGAATTTCTTAATTCCTCCACTTTCGACTGTAGTTCTAATTTCTGCGTTTCTTCCAATCGTTCCCGAATTGGTAAAATTTCGAACTCTAAATGGTCCACTTCGTCGGTCCTTCGTTCGAGATCGTTCAACAGCTGACGATGCAGCCGACAGAAATCCTCCGCCATTGGCACGTCGCTGCCCATGTCTTGGTGACCCTGGAGAAACGCTTCGGGTATGCTCATTAACCACTTTCTTAGCTCGTCGTGCTTGTCTAAGAACGTATTTATGATCCTCGATATCTCGAGGTTCTCCTTCTCGTGAGCTGTGCACCTCTCCATCAAACGGATCTTCCGATTTTCCAGTTCCTCCACCACTCGTTTCACACCCTGAAGAATTAGAAAAGAAGCTTGAAACTTGACAAATTAACAGGCCATGTATTAGGTTGTTCGATAAGTATCTTTCTTACACAAACGTGTTTTTTTACAACAGTGCACCTTCATACAAACGTGAAACCAAGTCTGTGAAATGTCGCAGCGTTTATTTCAACAGAATAAAATGGTACGTAATTCGACGAAATAATATAAAAGAAAAAAGTTGTGCGTTTATTATTTTCCGAAAAAACGAAAGAAACTTTTCGGACAACCTAATAATTGTCTCGATATTATATTGAAATTAAAGTGAAACTGAAATTTATGTCGATCTATTAATATTATTTTCGTCGCAGAATTACAAAATGTATAGGCGTTGAATGGAGTTTCACTCCCTGAGAAATTGAAACTCTGTAATTGGAAGAATATGTAATTATTTCGTTATTGGATTTAAATTTAGGTAAAATTGAAATTTAATTTCTCGGAAACTGGAAGCACTTTTGTTAATATCTTTTCGATTTCATTGTTGCAATAGGAGAAACTGCTCTCGAAGTTTCACTTCCCGAGGAAATCCGCTAATCGGAGAAACGCGTAATAATTTCGATATTATTTAAATGAAACTAAAACTTCAAGTTGACTGTTCTCGAAAATTATATATATTTCTAGTATATTTATGGCCACGAAACAGAAGATACTCTTAGTATCTCGCTCCTTAAACTACTGAAACTTAGTAATTAGGAAAATATGTAGCAATTTCAAAGGTATTTAAATTTAAATTAAAATTTATATTCTCGACAATTATAATTACTTTTATATTAACATACTTTTATTTCAAATTCGCGGAAGATTTTAAATAAAACTTCTGAAAATTTTAAAAATTTCAGATAACGATATCTTGACTGTAATTTTCGCGGAGAAACTTGTTGTTTGCTAGTTAAATTTGCAAAAATTGTAAATACTCCAATAAATTGTAAGTACATCTGATTTCAATTCTATAAAGAATGGAGCTCTCGATCATACGAAGGTGAATACTAGAAATCATTCATTGAATCGAACGATTTCATTGACTATGCATGCCAACCGGTCTACTACAATTAAGTTGTCGCTATTAATCTGTGAATCTAACCTCAGCTCCTGGCGCTCCTCTTCCTGTGACATCTAGAAGGGCGTATCCTTCCGCCAAAGGTTTCGCGGTGACGTCCTCGATGGTGGCGACGGTCTGAGCATGGAAACGAGCTAATTTCGTCGAATATGGGGGATGCTCCGTCGTCACCAGCTGAATTTCCAACTGATCTAACTTTGTAATTGCCTTCGAAATAAGAATCACAAACTTCGATATCCTCGTTTTCCACACTGACATTTTTATAATAGAACAAATTAAAAATTCGAAGCTCGTAATTTACATTTTTTTAAATCTTTAGATTCCGTCTTTTTATAATGTATAATATTCGATGTATTTATTATTGTTGGAATATTTATTTATCAATGATACAAAATCAGCAAAATTGTTTTTAATTTATTGTACTAGATTATTTTTTACGAGTAAATAATAAATTTTATTTTATTGCCAATGAATTGGATATAATGGGAATATCAAATAGGACAAATTTAAAAGGTCAATGCTCACCGATCTCGCCGAATCGAAGAAGGCCACCGCTCTATTCAACAACGCCTCGTACTGATCCAAATCGTTGACATAATCAGCCGCGGCGCCAAGGATCGCGTAAGCTTGTTCTGTCGCCTGTTCACCGGCAAAGTGTCCCGATGACACTAATCGTTCGGTTGACTTCGTTATTTTGATCGATCTGTCTTGAAATTCCTATGTAAAATATGTCGACCAATTTTTTAATAAAAGTACTTAAACCTAAGTATCCTGTAATAGCACTTTGAGAATTGTCGTTTTATTACTACATCCGCTCATTTCTATTCCAAATGTGCCGAATATCTATCGAACTAGGATAAATATTAAAAAGTATGCTGTAAAATGTTAATTTAAAATGTTAACGTTAAAATTGAAAATGTAACAAATATTAAAAAGTATGCTGTAAAAGGTTAATTTAAAATTTCATTTGCAATATCATAGACATTGTTCCTAAACATGCAATAATATAATATAAAATAATAATACGTGCAATACTCAGTATGTATTATTAGGTTGTCCGAAAAGTTTCTCTCGTTTCATAAGGCGACAATAGATGAACAACAATTTATTTCTATATTTCTATTATTATGTTCGTGCATAATTCAATAAACATTGTGCGTCTACTATTTCCTTATAAAATGGAAGAGACTTCTCGGACAACCTAATAAAACAATGTATAACAGAGATAAATACCCTAAAAATGCTATGAAAAGTTTATTTATTTGCAATGTCACAAAAAAAATTATAGTTCTAGTTTAAGAATTCTCTATCGCGTTTAGGGTAATATATCCAATAAATAAGAAGATTAGATCAGATAGTTAGAACAGTTAGACTTAAGATATAACAATCATGTGGTACCTTAGCCTCAGCTTGTAACTTTTTCAGTTCGAACAGGAGCAATTCCGCGCTCGATGCGGAATCTCCCAGCTGATCGCAGCTGCTCGACAAAGCAGCGATTCTGTCGTTTAAGATCTCTTCGAGATCACGTAGATCGGTCGCTAACAGAGCTAAAGCCAGGCACTGCTCCAATTGTGTCTTTCTGCTACGAAACGACGCTTCGATCAGCCGTCTCCTATCGTGAAGCTCTTCCAACCATTTCTCGACTTTCAATACCGCTGTAAAAGAATAAACAAAACGATTTCCTCTTACTACATACACCTACCTATAACATATACCAAAAACACATTTCCAAAATATTTCCAAAATATTTTTACGTTATAACTGCAATCTCTGTACCAGAATTCCAATTATTAACAAAAGGGATATCTCTAAAATTAAAAATTTGAAAAATACTTCAACTCAACGAAAGATGAACATCTTCAAAAGATATAGAGATCTTGGATGGTGTTTCTAGATTTTGTTTTCCTTTTAAAACAAAGATATAGATTATCGTAATATTAACGAGCCTTATCTAAAAAAGGAAGTTCGATGGTGGTAAGATAATTGATTGGATGTTTCAAGGACACGGGCACGCATACCGAAACGGAGCGAAAGGAACACACCACAGTTATGTCATCGATTAAAAGCGAAAGGGAGTGCGCGAAGAAAACTGTGACATTGAATATAATTAACCGTTTTTCCAAAGAAAACATTAACTATAACCGCTCACCGTGATCAGCTTCCAGCTTAATTCTATCCGGTCTGGAATCCAGGGAGCCTTCGTTCGCGATCTCCTTCAGCCGATCCAGTAGACTCTTTCCCTCTTGCAGCGCGCCCATCAACGCCTCGAGCATGTTCTTTCGAAGATCATGGATTTTCGACAAGAAATTCTTTACCGCCTCGATCTCGATCGGCAGCAACGTGTCGTTGCATGCCATCTCAAGAGCTTTCATACTTTCTCGACATTCCTCCGCTCGACTATAGATCGTCAAAAATATTTGTCATTCTATTAGATTTCATTGCATTCGTGTAACAAGGCAAGATTTTATCTTATTTTCCAATAAAATCGAAAGATTTAGAAAAAGATGTGTTGT